TTTTATCCCCGCCCCGACCATGACCTTCCCCGCCGAATCATTTCCGATATCCCGACTGCTTCTCCTCCATCTCCCCCGGTGAATCAATCGATCGCAGCCGTTAGAAGTGGAACTTCCTCTGAACCCCTCTCGCCGGCCGTAACCAATCTACACCTTGCCCAGATGATCCATACGGCTACTACCAAGCAGTCTGAATGGATGAGCAACTTGATCCAAATGCAGGTCGCTCATATGGAACGGATGGAACAGATAATGAGCAGGCTCATTAAGCCTAACCCTGCTCCTGCTCGACCTGCCCCTGCATCCTTTCCACTCTTACCTGCCCCGCCTGCTCCAGGGTTCGCGCCTCAGTCCCTCATCTAGCTAATCCACCAGGGAAGATCGAATGCTTTAACTGAAAGCAGCCCGGGCATTTCACCCGTGACTATCCGCAGCCGAAACGTAATCAGCCTCCCCCTGCTGCGGCCCCCGTTGCCCTTAATCAAGGACGAGTGGCCGCTCTAATGGATACGGATCAAGGAAGAGAACTCATGACATATGCCACAGAGCAACCCTCCCCTTCGATGGCAACGACTTCGACTTCAAGAGCTTCTTCCTCTGACATCGCTGACGTGGTTGATCCCCTCGAATATATCCATCTCGCGGGCATGATCGGAGCGATCCGATTGGTCCCAGATGATCTCGAGTGGGTCGATTGCGAATCCAATCCAAAACCGCAATTTCGGACAGGAGACATTGATGTACTGAAAACGCTCAAGCAGTTAGACATCCGCGTTCCTATCCCCGTAGGGCATCTGCTCACCATATCTGAAGCGACGAACGATAAACTTTTACAACACTACTAGAAAAATCAAAAGCGTTTCACCTATTAACGCATACAACGGATGTTGAAAAAGAAGGAAGAAGGTGAGGAAGTGGTATCCCCTGAGCCGGACACTAAAGAACCTGAAGCCGCACGCATAGCCGCCATCTCTTTAGCAGAAAAGGATCACTTCGTACGAGCTCGGCCAGTACTATGAAAAAGTGCGGAATGTGACTGGGAAGTTTGGGGTAAGTCGTTTAATGCCCTAATCGACACAGGGTCTTCTGCAGTGGCCATATCATTGGAGACTGTTGAAAAGACGGGACGACTTGGATCCATTCCTCCTCAATCTGGCAAAGACAACTATGTCTCTGCCGACGATGAAGCAATGGACATTGTAGGCATTATCGAGAACGTGGCGGTAAAGGTCGGGCGAGTGCACGTCCTTGTTAACGCACTCGTAATAGATGTACGTTCCTACTCTGTGTTGTTGGGATTACCTTAGTCAATGGCGGTGGGCGCATGTCTCCATTTCGATTCGAAACAATTGGTGCTCATACAAATTGGGGGAAAGCTTCAGACTGTTCCTTTGGGGGTTTCCACCCGAAAGATAAAACGGGTTCCTAACTCGCCCCAAATAGGGATGATCCGAGACATTGATCCCGAGGAGTGCTCCCCCTCGCACCTCGGGGATGGAATCAGGGAACGAGAATACGAAGAAGAGATGCCCAGTAAAGAGGAATGGAAACATCTCGTTGAACTTTTCGAACATGAAAGCCCCGAAGAATTTCGAGTGTGCCCCGACACCGCTCGAAGCTTCCACGTGGATTCTGAAGACAGTGCATTCACACCTCTAACAACCCAGGTCAGTCCTTCAGTCCTCCTCGGGAAACCCATATTACAAGTTTCCGATCTGGTTGATGATTTGGAACCCCCTCACACCTTGTACGATGGAGCTCTTTCCTTACGAACACGTTATCAGCAAACGGAACAGCATTTGGACATTTCTGTTTTTCCACCCCGATCATTACTAACGACAGGAGCCACCATTGCCTTGATTAAACAAGAAGCGGAAGCACCGGTAAGTGACGTGCCGAATCTAATGCAAGAAATGACGGATTTAACAGGGCTAACTGTGGAACCATCTTCGGTTGGTTCCAAGACTGATGCTGAAACTAAAGAAACGGAGATGATCAGCCCCGCTAAGTCCCAGATGATAGCAACTGTCTTTCCTGTTCGCACCAGTAGTTCCGTTTTCTCTAGTGTCCATGAGTGGTGGGAACGGCCGGTTGATTGGATCGATATGCCCCTTAATATATCCGGAAAATCGATGATCCCCCTCCCGAGTCACGTTCCCGCGGAACTTCGGAAGTCGTTAATCTGTGTATTGAATGGTTATGCAGAAGTCTTGAGCGTGCATGACAATGATATTGGGTTAACTAATGTAATTGAACATGCCATTATCACGGGAGATCATCCGCCCATTAGCTGCACTTCCTACCGTTACTCGCCAGCTCAACGAGTGGCCGCTTTTCAACGGATTAAGGAGTTCGAAGCTAATGGATGGATCGAACCTACTATAGGACCATGGTCTTTTCCTGTAGTGATTGTACCTAAGAAGGCTGGGGGGATTCGCATTTACAGTGATTATCGAAAGCTGAATGATATCACGATCAAAGATGTGTATCCCCTCCCCCGGATTGACGAGTTATTGGATGCGATTGAGAGTGCTCGATTTTTCAGCAAGTTTGATCTTCGTCATGGGTTCCATCATTTTTTTGTCYGAGAGGAAGATCGACCAAAAATAACGTTTGTGCTTTTCGAAGGCACGTGGCACTGGATTCGATGTCCGATGGGTATCTGCAATGCCCCTGCAACTTTTCAGMGGGCCATGAACATGGCTTTTTAGAATTTCGTACGGAAGACTCGTTTGGCACAGAGCACCATCAATTACTGCGTGATTGTGTAAATGGATGACATCCTAGTGTATTCGAGTTCCTACGAGGGACACGTGCAGTACATCGAATGGGCACTGCATGCGTTACGAGATGCAGGTTTCAAGGTGGCGCTTAAGAAGTGTCAGTTTTTCCTCACCACCATTTCTTTCCTGGGGCACGTGGTGACAGACAAGGAACTCCAACCGGAGCCGCAGAAGGTGGCAGCTGTAAGGGACGCGCCAGTGCCTACCACCATCACGGAAGTCCGCACCTTTTTGGGCCTAGCCTCGTATTACCGAAGATTTATCAAGGGCTTCATGGCGATTGCGGGACCCCTCACAAATCTCATGTGCAAGGATCAGCCGTTGATCTGGACGCCGAAGTGCGATCAAGCGTTTTCCAAACTCAAGGTTGCTCTCATTTCGGCTCCGGTCCTTATAAAACCGGATTTCGAAAAACCTTTTGTTCTCATCACCGACTGGCAGCTAGAGGCGATTTCGGCGCTCCTTGCCCATATGGGACCAAGCGGACTCGAGAGTGTGGTGGAGTATGCGTCGAAATCAGTACCCGCCTGCAAGCGCAACTACGCCGCTCTGACGGGAGAATGCTATTCGGTTCTCTGGGGAATCAGTCACTTTCGTGCTTACCTGTATGGGCGAAAGTTCACCCTGGTGACTGATCATGAGCCCCTGTTGGCTCTGAAGAAGTCGAAGGATTACTCGGGCATGATTGGGCRATGGGCAACGGTGCTGCAGAGCATGGACTTTGACATCCGTCATCACAACACGAGAGACACTGGAACGCGGATGGATTGACACGACTGCACCGGCCTAAGAAAGTTCCGAGGAATGAGGAGGTGATTCCGTAGAATGCACCCGAGCAGAAGCTTGGACCTCGGTACAGCAAAGTGGAGATTTTGTCGAAGCAGTAAGTGACACGAGGACTAATTTGCCTGCTCTACTCTCTCCAAAATTCAGTCTCGTCTCTCCCCTTCTTTCATCATGACTACCCCGCYCGCCTCCACAACTCCTTCTCCTACTAATTCTGCCCCTCTTACTTCCTCAGCTTTCTTCRACACCCTCCCCGATAAATTCTGCTATTTTTGCACTYGTATTGCAYGGGTTTACRKGGTCGACTGTCATCCCTTCGAGACCGGATTTGTCGATTGGGTGGAATGTGCCACGTGTGTCAATYGTGCGCACAGAGCCTGCGTTCGATATCAAACGAGTAGCAAGGAATGGAGGTGCCCCCTGTGAAGAACGAACAAACTCCCCACGGAGGTTCGATTCAAGGCCGCCCGTACGGACGGTYCTGGATACGACGAAAAATACCGACGGGCGGAAGTCTGGACGGATAAAATTTTATTGGCTAAATTAGCGGGATTATCATTGRGCCACCTCACCAAACACAACAGACGTAGGGCGACCGAGAGATCTCGGGACTATCGATGGATCAACGGTCATTTGGAAAAGCATAAAACTGACGGATCGGGTTCGTGGCTGACASTTCCCCATCCCTTCCAAAGATATGATTGGATCCGATCTGCTCACGAGGARCAGGCCGCTCATTTCGMGATACGTGTCACGGAGGCAACTATAAACCAGAACCGATGGTTCTGGTCCAATATACGAGATGATGTCAAATACATGGTYGYTAWCTGTCTGGTTTGTGCCGCTGATCGCGCCCCTATACRGGGACCAAASACGATCATGCCAACGAAAGTAGAGCGTCCTTTCCTGCGAGTCAGTATGGACACGACAGATATTGACGTGCCACCTGRYCCAARCCGCTGYGAATATTCTATTTTATTAGTATTAATTGACCACTTTTCCAAGTACATCGAAGTCTATCCCTCTAAGACCCGAAAGGCCGCAGAAATAACCACATACATCGAATGGTTCCTCTATACCCATCTAGATACGGAAGAAATTCTAACCGACAATGGATCTGAATTTAAAGGTGAGGTAGAAGAACTACTTGCGCGAAGGGGCGTCACGCTCCGACATACGGCACCCCACGTGTCCCAGTCGAACGGGTTGGCCGAGAATGCCAACCGTATGATTAAAACCGCCCTTCGCAGGAACTTAGCGGCACACGATACGCGTCCTTGGCCCGAGATCGTATATCAGATCGTCGACATCCACCGGGCCACCCCTCACGAGTCTACGGGGTTCACCCCCTTTCAGCTTCGAACTAATAGCCTCCCCTGTGTCGATTACCGGGGTAACTCGGAAACTGCCGAAGCAGGGGGTACAGACACGCGTACGGCCCTCAAGGCCAAGGCCAAAAGGTACATCGATTTGATGGAACGGGCYGTTCCGAAGCTAGCCCGAAAAAGACAAAGGATGACCGAGCTGGCCCACAGTAGACAGGTCCGTAGCTACGAGGCCCGGAACAGAAATGCTGGGCCCCAGTACCAGTATAAATTGGGGGACCTAGTGCAGGTATGTAAATGTCCACGCGACCGGAAACTCGCTCCCAAGTTCTCGGGCTGTTTTCACGTTGTCGAACTCGGACCCAACGACGCTAACACGGTGCGCATCGCGCCTGAGGCTAGCGCCAGCCATAGCTCCGTCCCCATTGTCCGGCATACCTCCTACCTCTGTCTCCTTCCTCCTTCCGATCTTCCTCCCTCTTCTTCGTCGGAAAGTGAGGAAAACGACGACAATCTAACCCTCTCTTCTTTTTCTCCCCCTTGTCCCTCGTCCTCCTCTCCGACCTCGCCATGAGTTTTATCCTGGAGCGGGTTCTTGACGTACAGCTGCGACAGCCACGTGGCCACATCTCAGAGATTCGGCAAGTTTGTCACCCTCGGCTCAATACGGATCTTTGTCGTTTGATGCAATTCTTTTGCGACGAAGGTCTCTGTGCCGCCGCCGCGTTTCGGATACAAGGAAGCCCTCACGCGATAGTGYTCGCGGAGGTTACTGCAGTTCATCGGCGAGCGGGTCCCAAAACGAGCCACGTCACCACASTGGCGGCGTTCACCGGCGACATCAGCTCGGTCAATCCGCTGCGGCATACCGCGATCTTGGCCTCGCTGCACGAGTGGACGGAGCAAGTGTCCAACGTGTGGCAGCACGTCCTCGCTCGGGAGRGKTATAACATCATCCCAATCTTTGCATCAGATCTTGACGGTATTCGCCGATCACCACGCGAGCGGCCAGTTGCGATCCCAACCCTCATCCCCTTTCCCYATCCCCAATGAACCACGCCAATTTTCTCGCCCCTCTCTCTATCTTTGCTCTCCCCTCTCTCTTYCCTGGCAATCAGATCTCCACCCTTCTCTCTCCTTCTCTTTCGAACCTATTTCGGTCTCTCTTATCAATCCTGGACATTGGCGGCTGTGGCGCGAGACTTTTGAGGAGTTGTCCTTCTGCCTGGCCCGAGTACAAGTGAAGTGGACGGGCACTATYGAGCACCCCACGTGGATCGAGAATCCGRRGCTKCTGATCATACAGGGTTGGAGGACTAACGCGGAAGGAGATCTTATTGGATTCCTCTTTGGATCGGTACGACCGGGTCGTCGTCAGTTTATTGCACAGGAGCTCATCGCACCGATCGTGCAATTGGCGGACGATCTCTCGCCTAGCATCTACTTTCAAAGTGACAACAGTCTTGCTCCGTACATTTTTTTAGCGAACCTTGGATCCGTACCTTCAGTGGACTTCGTGCTTGGAGGAACCTAGGGACGAGGATACGCTACCATCGCGGCAGGAGTATCTGAAGCCGTACGAGATCATCCCTTACGCCTTCTACCCGAGAGCAGAAGAAGTGGTGATCGACGACGACAACGACGAAGAAGAAGACGACGACGAGGAAACATTGGAGGAGGGAAGCTATAGTGAACATAGCGAGGGCGAGCTGAGTGAGGAGGAAGAGGAAGAAGAAGGAACCGGKTCCGAGTGGGAAGCCCCGCCGCAGGAAGCAACGCGTACGGGAACGAAGGCGGAATATCCAGAAGCGGCGCGAAAGCGCGAAGAGATTGCCTCAGGAATGCGCCAGCTGGAGTTCGCTAGCGAGGCTAGCCTGCGCATCGGTAGCGATCCGACCAGGGATCCAGAGCCGCCGAGGCCCGAAGATTGCGACCCTGCAGCCGCCACCTTAAGTACCGCGCGACGGAGACGGCGCCGATCCCCCTCCTCCTCCAGCCCCACCCGTCCCCGAGTTCGCCCACGTACCAATGCGGGCGATARGCCTTCGACCTCGGACGCTGTCCCGCCGACCCCTTGATTTTCTCACCCTCGAGCAGATCCGTACCCCCGTCACCTTCCCTTCCCATCCCTTCCATCCCCATCTCTTCCGTGACTTCTACTCTACCCGTTTACTCGCCACCGTCCACCCCCACGCCTCCCTTCAGTCCGCTGCTCCCAGATTCTGCTGGCATCTCCTGCTGTTAAGCGCTCCATGGGAGCGAAGCAACGTCGTAGAAGTCTACGACGTTACCACGGGGACAATACCCGCCTGTCGCCACTTTGAGATCTTTCGAGCGGCGCTTTTYCGCACCCTCTCCTCCTTCTATCGCGATTACCTCGCTTCCCTCCCGCACAATGGCGATCATTTCCCCCGCTCCCAYCGAATCATCCGATATGAGGAGCTCCCGGTGACGATGGAGGGGATGAATCACTTCCTACCCCCACTCCCTCCCCGTCATCCCCGCAAAATCCCCCACATGTACCGCCTCTAGGCGGTAGATCCCATTCACTTGAACACCCCCCCTTTTGTTTTTCTCTCCTCCCTTCATCGGCACGAATCGGTAAGCTTCGCGAAGATGACGCCATCGACGATGACGTCAACCTACGCGCGGATTCGACAGACGGCAACGACCAAGGGTGCAGAGCACACGGAGATCAGGTGGACCATGATGGCGTCACCTAGATGATCTCCACGAGGCAGAGGGTTGCATATGACAGGGCTACAGAGATCTTGCCACAGATGTTGTCGTCATCTCATCCGCGACCCAGTTATCATTCCTTGTACTTCCTTTGCTCTGTTGATGCGCTTGGTTCCTCATGCATCACTCTGTTGTCCCCTCCTTCTTTCGCCATGACATGCAATCAGGAGATCGCATAATTTTGGAACTCCCTGTGCGTCACATATGTGACGAACCACTTTCCGACCCCGTGCCATCTTTCGTACCCTTTTTTTTGCTTGTATCATACCAACCCCAGGAAAGCCCCGTTTTGATTTCTTGCTTTCCGGTACCGCATTGTCCTTTTTTTTTTAGAGTTTTTTCGACTGCAGGGTTCTGTTTTTTTTTTTGCAAAATCGGGAAATATTTGGGAATTTAAGTGCGCCCTAGCGAGCGCACTGGGAATTGGGCTCAGCAGTTGGGAATTCCAGAATAAGCGGAGCTCCGACGTGTCCTTTTCGAGTGTGTGAATGTTCTTGGGCGCGTCGGGGAAAACTCTCGGAATTTTGCGAATAGGCGTAGGATTTTTCTTTTTCCGCGTCATTTTTTCGCTGGCGGATATGGTGATTTCAATTTTGAATTAGGATAGAAGCAAACTGTAACTGTTTCGGTGCCTTTTTCCTTTTTTTTGTTGACGGCGCCATGCATGCAAAAGTTTCCTCCCCTCTGACCCCCTGTATCGCTCTCTCCCTCGCTCCCTTTCCTTCTTCGTCCTCTTTCTCTCTCCCCGTAACTGTTTCTTTCTTTCTCTCTCCCTCCCTTCCCCGTTTTGCTGTTTGCGCGCCCATTTTCCTTTCTTGATCATCTGAATCTTGGACCCGTCTTGCGCCACCTCTCGCGCCTTTTCTCTTCTCACCCTCTTAGTCTGGCGTACGACGCCCGGTCGATCCCCCGATAACTCCCGCTCGCCAATCAGGTGCGTGGATCGATAGGACCTTCCTATCGCGCAACGATTTTGATTGGTTGAACCTTGAGTTCTGAGGGATCAGCATGGCGTTCGTAGGGCACTCTTCTCAAAGTCTTCTCCTCCTGCTTCTCCTCTTACACCTCAGCTTTCCTGTCGCCTTCTCCCCCTTCTATCTCCCCTGTCGCAACTATAAAACCCGCAAGCACGTCCGCAAAACTCTCTTACGTTCTCGATTCCTAAGCCAGCTTCCTGGAAGCAGTGGCTAGGCAGAGTGGATTGATGCGAGTCGGAAAGTCCTATCGGGCTGACGATAGGCTGGCCGGTTGGGCGCTTAATCGCCACGACGGACTGTGGGATCCGGGCGAACTGTGTCGAGTTTACGACAATGGGGTGACGATCGCAGTGGCGAGAGTTAGCACACGACGGCCAGGATCATCGGTGCGGGTATGAGGTTCGATGATTGGAGTTGAGTGAGTGATTGGCCTGGGGCGATAGTGGAATTAACGGCGAATGCGCCTTTGTTGCGGATTGTTATCCTTGGCGTGAGTGTCAGGCGGCGACGCCGATCTTTTCTCTTTACGGACCTTGTCATCTTCTATTTTGACTCTCACTCTCTCTCCCTCTCTCTCCTCTTGAATGATGATGCGTCTGAATAATTGTCCCGCTCTTGAATGGGAATGAGTCGGCATTCTGTGTGAAAGAACTTCTTTCGGAACTCTTTCATTAGTTTCCTGGGTAATCCTTCTACGCAAGGGCCCTATCTTCTTGTCTTGTGAACAGTGGATGCGTGTGTACTGAGTAATGCGATCCATCTTTTCCTGTGCATGTCTCATTTTCGCACCTTCCACAGTGAATGCATGTATGGAATGTGTGACTCTTTTGTAGGTTAGACGATTGTCGTCGGGATTTTGTTCGAGAATGCAAGAGTGTTTAGATTTGTAGCTCCGGTTGCACTGCGCATACCATCTGCCTTATGCTGCACGACATCAGCAGCCGAGCCACGAAGCGGCCTTGAGAAACAAAGCGCCCAGGGACCAACGTTGTGTTGAACTGATTGGACCCGTAGCCATATGCGTGATCAAGCTGATCTGTGTTTGCTCTCTCTCCTGTGTCAAAAAGATTGATTGAGGGATGCGTGAATCGCTTTTGTTCTTAATGATGTCTCAGGATATTTTGTGATTGATTGACATGTGGATTGACAAGTACCCTTCGATTGGGCGCCAGCCTCCTGTATCTCCCATCCCTACGCGACCTTTTCCCTTCAGTGAGGAAAGGACACGTGTATGCGAGTGGGATGTACGAGAAGCCGTTGCACAAATCGGCGGGCAGTATTACTTCCCTCCGGCCAACCGCTGTTCTGGGTTCGTAGAAGCCGGGTTTGTTATTATCGATACGCACTTCCCACCTTACTCGGTATTGTTGCCGTTTAACGAGTTGATCGTCATTCTATGGACGACAATTCAACGCCACTGGCCGCGCACTCTGTGCACCGAATGTCAGTGTTTTGAGCGCTATGAGTCCAGGGGTTTTCACTACCGTGTGCGGAGCGAAGACGAGCATAAAGAAAGAGCCACGCGGCTGAGACCCTCCACGTCAGACTCGGAACTAACCAGCGAACGACGACGAGACTTGATACGAAAACAAGACACGCGAAACGTGCCCAAGCCTTTCTGTTCTAAACGACGGGCTGTAGCCCGGTGGGAGGCACGACAATACTTTTTGGATTGAATTTGGACCTTTCCCTCTCTTCCCGCCTCGCTCGCGCGCGCATTTCGCGACGAGCGAAAACGATCGACTTGCTGCATCCGACCAACACGGGGGGATTTCAGTTTCGTCTGTGTCCCCACACTCAATTTCCAAAAATCCTTGGCACACCCTGTCTTGCTGTTTTTCTGGGCCTCTTTTCCGCACAGCTAACACTCCGAACGAAAGACAGCACAGGGCGTGAGGTTGCGCGTCACGTCCTGGCAGCAGAAAACAAGCAGCAGCACAGCAGCTGGGGGAACTAGGACAGCACAAATATCCTGAACAAAGGAAAGGAGGAGGGAAAGACAAGGGATACGAAAGACAAGGGACACATAAGGCAATGGCAGTACTCCATGTTCATGAAGGACTACACTACTGAACAGTATGCAGGCCTGCTCAGTCAATCCCCTGGGTTGTAGGGCAATCAATGCTGGCAGGCCCCACAGTCTGAGTCCTCATCTTCCTCACCTTTCTCAGACATCATCAGACATTCTCAGACATTATTTCTCCTGTAATATGGGACGCTGGACCCGTTTTCCAGCAGGTGATGCTCCCCACCAATAGATGGAGCCTCTCCGTAGGTGTTAGTGGTGTCTGCCCTTATCAGCAGCACTAACACTGGTGGGGGTGTTTGCAAAAAAAAAAAAAAAAAAAAACAGAGGCTGCGGAGAATATCCTGAAGAGGCTGAAAATATCCTGGAGTTAAAAGAGGACCAAAGAAAACCACCTTTGACCCGGGACCCAGAACAGCAATCCTTGGCAGAATCATGGTGCACAAAAACATGTCCTTGCATTTGCACATCGTCCATTCACATTCCGGCCGGGTTTTGTGTACCCCACATACTCTTTTACAGAATCATGATAGGCTTCACCATTTCGTCACCACTTGGCACCACCAGTGTAACAAATCAATAGAAAATCGGTGTACGCCATCAGGGGCATCGCTCTTGGTATTCAAGTAGACTTTACGGATTTGCAGCATACTTTCCCTTACCGTGCACTCGCACTGAGTCTTTTTTTGTGCATACATCGAACTGCCATTGCAGCCAGACCTGGACGTATACGACCGCAATCACACCCAGAAGTCTGTTAAGATAGTCCTAGTGTGAGCATGCCCTCACAGTATCTGATGCCATTTTGTGTCCTAGCACCATTTCCTTCCTCACCACTTCGCACCACCAGTGGAACAAATCTAGAGAAAATTGGTCCATGTACACCATCAGGGACTTCGCTCTTGGTATTCAAGTAGACTTTAGGGATTTGCAGCATAGCTCCCCTTAGGGTGCACTCAGTAGTCTGAGTTCCGCCTAGGACGGTAAGACTTGTCCGTAGTTGCTGGCCTTGGGCTCTCTAGCCCTAGTGTGACCAACCCCTCACAACATATTAATGAAGTTCAAAGAGGGGCCTTGGGCTCTCTAGCCCTAGTGTGAGCAGCCCCTCACAGTATCAGATGCCATAAATTTGTTTTCCGCCACATAACTGACATACTTTTTTCTCACTAACAGACTCACAACGCTTCAGGTGTCAATCAGGCACCGCCACATAACTGACATACTTTTTTCTCACTAACAGACTCACAATGCTTCAGGTGTCAATCAGGCAAAGAGAGGTAACCTCCCTTCACCGGAGAGACTCTGAGGTAGAAAGCTATGCTTGCAGGGAGAGTAGTGGCAAGTGGGTAGGTATTTTCCATGACACGGCAGAACGCCGAGAACGGCAGTTAAGAGAATATGTGAGGTGAGGGAAATTATATGGCTGTCCCCCAA